TAAAAGTACAATTTTCTTACCCAATCCTTGGTGGATGGACATTTGGGTTGCTTCCACAATTTAGCAGTTACAAATTGTGCTGCTATGAACATAAGTGCACATATATCACTGTGATATGTTGTTTTTAGATCTTCTGGGAAAATACCCAAGCAAGGGAATAGCTGGGTTGAATGGGACCACTAGACCTAGTTTTCTGAGGAATCTCCAAATTGATTTCCACAGTGGTTTCAGCAGTCTGCATTCCCACCAGCAGTGGAGAAGGGTTCCTTTTTCCCAATAGCCCCTCCAGCATTTGTTATTGGTTGACTTCTTAATGCTAGCCGTTCTGACTAGGGTAAAGTAGAATCTCAGTGTTGTTTTAATTTGCATTTCTCAAATGACTAATGATGTTGAACATTTTCTCATGTATTTGCCATTTGTTTTTCGTTATCTGAGAAGCGTGTATTCATCTCAGCTGCCCATTTTTGGATTGGGTCTTTGCATTTTGGGGGGGCTGATATTTTTTAATTCTTTATATATTCTAGATATTATTTCCTCGCTGATTTTTTTGTCCAGTTGACCAATCTCTTCGTGTCAGTGGGGTGTTGAGGTCCCCTATTACAATAATGTTACTAGTTATATGGGTTTTCATGCCTGTTAAGATTTGTCTTATATAATTTGGAGCTCCGACATTTGGTACATACATGCTTATGACTGTTACCTCATCCTTTTGCAGTTTTCCCCTGACTAGTATGTAATGACCTTCTTTATGTCTTTCGATTGTTGTCGGTTTGAAGTTTACATTGTCTGAAACAGAATAGCTGCACCTGCTTTTTTCTGGGTTCCTGTTGCATGGAGGATTGTTTTCCATCCTTTGTCTTTCAGTCTATGGATTTCCTTTTGAGTAAAATGTGTTTCCTGTATACGGCATATTGTTGGATTTTGTTTTTTAATCCACTCTGCCAGTCTGTTTCTTTTGAGAATTGAGGCCATTTACACTTATAGTTATAACCGAGATGTGTTGATTTATCATTGTCATGGTATTTACTTGCTTTGGTGTCCTACTTTTTCTACCTGTTTACTTGCTTGCTCTTCTTAACATTTCTTTCCTACTGTTGTTCTTGAAATTGCGGTCAGATTTTTCTCTGTCTAGAATATCTTTTAGTACTTTTTGTAATGTTGGTTTGGCACTCATGAAGTTCTTCCATTGTTCTTTGTTGTGAAAGTATTTTATTCCTCCATTGAATTTGAGGGATAGTTTGGCAGGGTATATCAGTCTTGGTTGGAAGCTGTTCTGTCTCAGGACCTGTAATATTTCGCTCTAAGCTCTTCTCGATTGGAGGGTTTGTGCTGAGAAGTCTGCCATGATTCTGATGGGCTTTTCTTTATAGGTAATCTGTTTCTTTTGTACAGCACCTTTTAATATTCTATTCTTTTGCTAGAGATCTGGGAACTTGACTATTATATGTCTGGGTGTAGTTTTATTTTGGTTGTGGTTGTTTGGAGTTCTATAGGCCTCGTTTAGCTGTATATCAGGTTCTGTTTCCATACTTGGGAAATTTTCTGCTATTCTTTCTGCAAATAGTCTTTTCATGTCAGTTGCGTTGCCTCTGCTGTTTCATTGACTCTTATAAGTCATACATTATTCCTCTTTGCCTCATCTCGCAGCCGTTGAATTGACTTTTCCTGGATCCTTATTGATTTTATGAGATCCTTTCTTTCGTGGTTGGTAGTTGCCATGCTGTCTTCAAAGTCTGAGATTCTATCTTCAGCTTCATTCAAGTGGTTCTGGCAGCTTTCAATGGAAGCTTTGTTTTCTGGAAGTCTCTTTGAGTCTGGTTCATGCATTCTAAGTCTTTTCTATATTTTTCATTGAATGCCTTTTGACCTTTGCCTTTGTTCTTCTATTTTCATGTATGTTTCTTCGGGCTTTTTGAGTAGTTCTTTCATTATTACTGTTATTTCATATTTTGCATGAGAGATTATTTCTGATCTCATCTCTTCTGTGGCCTTATGGAATTGTTTCTTTACTTCCACTGCAATCATTTCAGCTATTTCAGGCATGTGTTTACCAAGTTCTCCTATGTCGATGTCTCCTGGACTGTTCTGAGTGGGGTGGAATTCTGGGACTGTGTTTTAGTCCTTCGTTTTGTCATGTTTGCTACCAGATGCAGAAAGCTCAGTTTCCCTCTTCAGTGGCTGCACAGCAAAGGCCACTAGTGTCCCTAGTTTTCCTGTTGGTCAGGTTTGCCCCTCAGTGACCCCTGAGAAGCACTACTTAGTGTTGGGTTTTCCGGCAGTTGTTGATTTGTATCTAGTTATCCCAGGTCTCAGATGTGGGCATTGGTGTCAGCTGATGGCAGACGGTCTGATCTAGGGTCCCCTTGCAGTTCAGGGCACGTGCACTGCCCAGACTTGGGTTGCACTGTTGTGACAATCCTGGTCCAGTGGACCTATGTCCCCAGGCAGTTCAGGGTACAGGCAAACCCCAAACACAAAGTGCAGGGTCCACAGTTTGTGAGCCACCTGATTCGGTGTCTCCAGTCAGTTCCAGACACATACAAGAACCAGGTGCAGGCTGGCCAGGCAGCAATCACAGACTGCCTGTGCCTGGGACCCCCTAGGTGGTCTGGGCACAAGTAAAGCCCAGACTTGAAGCGCTGGACCGGCAGCTCTTGGAGCACTCACCCACCCAGCACAGGGCGCACACAAGGAGGGGCCGTACACGCACCCCATATAGAGCAGTCCCTGGGGCCCATGAGTGAGGACCTCCAGTCAGTCCCTCCACGAACCCCAGATGGGAACCATGGCAGTGGGAGTAAAGCACAGACTCGAACCCTGGGACCAGCAGTTCCCAGAGCACTTGCCCTCCCAGTGCAGGGACGGGCCACACACGCCCCCCAGCTAGAGCAGCCCCCGGGGCCTCTGAGCAAGGACCTCCCTTCCACGGCGGGTGTAAGTAGGGCAGAGACTCAGTCTGTCATGGTGGTGGGGTCCTGGGTAGCCTGCTGTCCCTCAGGAAGTAGATGTGAAATACTGGGCTCTGTCTGCGAGCCTCAGCTGGGAACCGCCGCAGTGGAAGTAAAGCTCATACTGGAACCGCGGGAAGAGCAGCTCTTGGAGCACTCGCTCACTAGGTGCAGGGCACGCACAGGGAGGGGCCGCATGTGCCCCCCTCCAGCCAGAGAAGTCCCTGGGGCTTCTGAGTGAGGTCCTCCTCTCTGCCGGGGGTGCAGGGAGGGCAGAGACTCATTCTGTAATGGCGGCGGGGTCCTGGGCGACCTGCTCTGCCCCCAAGAAGCAGACGGGAAATACCTGGCTCTCTCTGCGAGTCCCAGCCGGGAACTGTGGGGGCGCAAGCAAAGCACGGACAACCTTTCAGTATTTGAACGTAAATACTTCAAGGTCTTGCTTGAGAAAATGTATTGAAAACTTGCTCATTCTGAGTTTTAAATGTTTTAAAGATTGAGTTCATTAGTCCAGGTGTTCAGAAATGGTAGAAGCCAGATTTGAGCCTGGGTCTTCCACCTTTAAGTCCATAATTCAGTTGCAAATATTCTTGGTCAGGAGAAATAAGATTTTATTGTGATGGTAGTTCATAGATATATTTTTAGTGTTTATTTTCAAGACTGGATTATGTTCTAGTTACTGAAAGTTATATTCCCTTTTGAAATTTCTAGGGCAATGGTGATACCTTTGTAGATTTCTTTTAGAATTACCTAATTGGTTATCTTAAACATTTATTTCTTTGGGGTAATTTTTGGAAATTGATGACTTTGACTTTTCTCCACAGAGTTACAGTGAATGGTTACGTGGATTTGAAAAGAAAGCCAAAGAATGTATAGTTGGAACTTTGGATTCAGAAGAAGTTAAGGTTAGTTCAAGAAGTGAACTGTCTGTATTTTAATGAAACCTGGGAAAAAGGAGCAAGTCAGAAATTGTTTTCATATGTTCTAGAGAGGTAGACTATCTATTTTTAGAAGGATAATCTTTTGAGAAAAGTATAAGGAAGTGATCATTTTGTGTACATTTAGTGTCTTCTTTGCATTTATGTATAAAGCTAATGTTTCTCCTTTGACTCTGTATCTTAATGATTTCTAAAACAATATTTAACTCACTTATGCTCTGTTTAGCCTTTTTATTTATTTTTCTGTTTTATTTCTTTACTAGTACATGTTTGCAGTGCATGGAGTTTACAGTCTTCTTGGGGAGGGGTTCCATGTGCTTACCACAGCTTGTTTCTTTTTGTTTTAACTCCCCTCCAATTCTCTCCTGTCCCATTTTTCATTTAAAAAGTATGGAATGCTTCACAAATTTGCATATTGTTCTTGCAGAGAGGCCATGCTAATCTTCGCTGTATTGTTTCAATGTTAGTATATGTACTACCAAAGCAAGCACTAGCCTAAGTTTAAAAAGTAGTCAGTGACCTAGGTAGGTAGAGTCTTGCTAGTTGCTCAAGTTGCCCCAAATCAACCACTAGGAGTATTAGAACCTGGCTTGGTTTTTATCTTTGACTTCTGAAATTGTACCCTAAGTAGGCAAAGGCATTGTATGGCATAGGCATTGTGACCTTCATGTGTGCGTCTGCTTTGATTTTACCACCTGGCTAATAAGAAATAAGCCTGTTTATTATAAAATTGTGTCATGTATTTTGTAGTGATCAGTTTTATTAGTAACCATCAAATATGACCAACAAAGCTGTTGTACTTAATTGCCCCTTAGTGTTTTGTTATAAGCCATTTTAAACCATTTTTGGAATATAAAACTAAGCCCTGAAATAAAATTGAAGCACAGAACTTACTGGTAGTTTAGAGAATTTATTGTTTTATGTTCTTTGCAGGTTTTAGAGTTTAAGTTGAGAGAAGCTGATGAAGGACGCACACTGTTACAGCTGGAGTGTGATACGTATAAATCAGTCCTTGCAGAAACAGTAGGAAATGATTTTTAATCTACTTTGTATTATTAAACTATTAACTTCTCCTTCATGGCCTAAATAGTCTATCTTGGTATTATACTATGAATTCTTCAAAACTATATCTTTGTCTGTAGGAAGGAATTTTACAGAAGCTACAGAAAAGTGTGGAGGAAGAGGAAAATAAATGGAAAGTTCAGGTCGATGAATCACAAAAGACAATTAAGCAGGTACTTAAAAAAGAGGCACTCAGAGCTGCAGTTCTGAGCTGGGCCCCGGGCCACAGACTTCAAAGGTCACAGACCTCTGTGTGAAGTGTACATTTTCAGCACCCAGACTCCTCCCTGGGTCTTAGCTAGCAAGGGGAGGGCAGAGTCCTTATGTTCATAGCCTGCTTGGTGATTCTGATGCCCACCCACACTGAAAGTCACCAGTTTAGAGAGTGACCGAAGAGGGGGTGATAGAGAGTAAGAGAATTTCTATGCCATAACATATGATGAAGAATACTGGGTTCAGAGTTAGTCTTAAAATATTGATACTTAACACACAATGTATTATATTCAAGAAAAAGTTAATCATAGTTTTGTGAGATAGGAATTTTTTTTTTTTTT